CCACTACAGTGCTGAGTCCTTCTCAGAACCCACAGAGTTTGAGTACCTGAGGAAGGTGCTGTTTGAGTACATGATGGGGCGGGAAACTAAGGTAATTTATCAATATATCATTATGCACCTTTAACATTAAAGTAACATTTTCTGATAAGGGAAGATTGACAGTGCACATATGAGCCCATAATCCCAGTTTCTTGAAATATAACTACCGATATCACACTTCCCTCACTTCCCTTTTATTCAGCCCAGGATACATTGCCATTTGTTTAGTTGCTTTCCCTCAATGAAAATGTGAGAGGAAGTATGGAAGGAGGAGAGACTGGATAGAGAGAGAGAGAGACAATAAACTTCTCCATTCCCACACAGCCGTCACCCATTTAGAGACTCGTACAAAAGTAATTCCGTGTTTGTGTCCGTTTAGCATAGGTGCTAATTAATGATGCTGTATGGGAATTAACAGTGCTAGTTGACACGGTCCTAAAAACAGCGGGGTATCAGACGCACACATACACATAAAACTAGCGGGGTTCCCCCCTAGGTCCTCAGTAAACAGTTAAGCTTTATGATGTCATAGCCATATCATTATGGCCACCCTGGGAGTGGAAGGATGTTCCCCCCACAGACATATACTATTCACATGACGCACGCTGCCATTTTAAAGACTTACTGGCCTTGTTTAGCTCCTCTAGAACAAGAAGAGGTCTTTGGTTGGTTGTTCCCCTGGTTTCCTCAAACAGCAGCAATGTTTCTGATTAAGGCCATTATTTATAGGCTGACAGATAGACCTGGAGTTGATTAGATAATAATAGTTTTTTTTTATCTTATTTTTTTGTCTCATTGAGCAGGTTTGATTGGGTCGTGTATGGTGGTGTTGAGGCCAAGGGGTCACAGAGCCTTATGGGCTGCAGTGTGGGATCTGAGGTGGTGAATGGCTGGACATGGGTTCACTTAACCTCCATTTTTGATCTGATGGAAGATGGTGGTGATGAGGGCAGGGGGTCACAGAGTAGAGACTCAATGATGGATTACTATGGGGTGAAGTGGGCGACTGAGTTGGGTGATTGGCTGGACAGGGGATCACTAAGCCTCCATGATGGATCTGAGCTTGGTAAATGGCTGGACAGGTTGGATATGGATCAACTGCATTTGGGGATCTGAGCTTGGTGAATGGCTGGACAGAGGTTGACGGAGTGTCCATGTTGGATCATCATGGGTTGCAGTGGGGGATCTGATGTCAGTGAATGGCTAGACACTGATCATCCATGTTGGATCTGGGCTGGGTGAATGGCTGTACAGATGGGGAGCTTTAATACTAGGTTTACTGCCATGATCCCAACCCGGGTGCCAAGAATTGAGACACTGAAAAACATTGGAACCATGTGGCTGCATACCCATGCCATTGAGAGCACTGCCTCCAAAAACTCAATTGTGAACTGTCATCAGTTTCCCAACACATATCACGAACATCCGCAGCCACCACCTTAAAGTTGATGTTGAAGGAATTTTCTATTGTTTTGATTTGAATGTATCCTACTTTTCTTTGTAAGATGGCTAAGTAATTTCTGTGTTTTCTCTTCCCTCCCATAGACGATGGCTAAAGTCATAACATCCATGCTCAAGTTTTCACAAGACCAAGCTCAGCAGGTTCTGGAGAAAGAGGACACAAAAGCAATTGTAAGCATCTGTTCTTCCTCGTCGTAAAGCCACTAACGACGAGCCATATGCAACCACACGGGGACACACACACACACACACACACACTTGCATACATACACACCTACATACATACACACACATACACAGTCCGTGCTATGTCAGCAATCGCTTACAGACATTGCCTTGGCCTATAGTATAGTATGTCGATAATCTCCTACTCATCCAGATATATTGCATCTTAAACAACTATACCCATGTAGACCCCTTACCCGTAACTACAGTATCTGTTACAGCAATGGAAACACATGGGGGGATGTGAAGGGGAAGACATGTCTAGCCTGTTGTCTGTTGCAGTATTAAGGCATATTGGCAAGTACAGTGTACAAGCATACAATATCTAGCTTTAGTTTCAAGTCAAGTCACGTTTTATTTGTTACATGCGCTGAATACAACCGGTGTAGACCTTACCGTGAAATGGTTAGTCATATGCGTGTTTTAGGTCAGATCAGGGTAGGTGGTATTTGTGCTTCAATTCTATTCTTACCAGTCAAAGTAGTACTGTGCAGTTAAAGTAATCATTATCTCTGTTCTACCTGTTGTTTCAGCCCTGGCTACGCTGAGGGTCAGGTATTAGAATGATGCTGGTACTTTAAAGATGGAGGTGGACTAAACTGCTGCTGAAGGACTAGAATGAAGACTGCTGCACCTCTGTGGACTAGATTTAGTCTTCTGCTGGCCTGTCTGCTCTCGTTTGCTTCTGTCTCTGTGTGTGTGTGTGTGTGTGTGTGTGTGTGTGTGTGTGTGCGCTGTGTAGATATGTGTGTGCTGCGTAGCTAATCTTATGAGGGAACTAGAAAATATGGCAAGTAAAGATAGAGTATCTAATTCTTCCAATCTACCATCACGCGATGAAATTACGGTTTTTAATGTATTAATTATACAATATTTGTTTGTTTTTTAGTCCAGTGTTAATTCTGTTTTTTAATTAGATTTTCTTTGGACAGATGGCTTGTGCAATACGTTTGTTTTGGTCATTGGGTTGGTTGATTTGTTTTTGAGTTGATTCTTTGGTTGTGTTTTCTGATAAAGGAACTGTCCAGTGTTTCCAGATTTCTATTAAATATGACCTATAATTAATTACAGTATGAGTGAAATACTTTTCCTTCCAAAACATGGTATTTAAGCATATTTTCTGTGTTGGAATGGTGTGGGCGTACCCCAACAACTAACCTAACATAGCAGGTGTAAAAGAAATGCCTGAAACTAGATTCCCTACACACTGGCTTGACAAGAAGAAGAAAAACTGTCGTGGGAGGTTCTCTTCTGCACTGTTCAGCCAATCCAGTAAATGTGGAGGAGGAGTTAAGATGGAGTTGCAACACAGGCTCTCTTTCAATTTCCCCTGAAAACCGAAACATCCGGTTGTTGGGGACTACCCAACAACAGAATGGTGTGGGCGTATACCGGTCATAAAATGTTTTATGTGAGTAGACCGCTGATTGGCCAGCTCAGCCAATGAGGCAGGATGACATCATTCTCTATGAGGAAATATCAAGCATTTTTTAAACTGTCTGTTTGAGATACAAGTTTGAGGTGGGGTTTTTGAAGTGTTGTTTCTTCAATTTATGTTTTGGCCACAAATACCAGTATAAGACTAGTCAACAACAATATTTGGGTATGAGTTAACAGAATATTAACTTTTTAGAGATTTTCACTGGACAGTTACTTTAAATGTTGTTTTTCAGTTGATCCATGGTTGTTTTTGAGTCAATCTTTGGTTGTTTATCAGTTGATATTTGGTTGTGTTTCTGCTGTATGTATCATTTCCCCCTTCTGCCTGTGATGGGATCATAGAAATAGAATATCTACATTCTATTTCTATGGATTCTTAATATGAATCTGAATTATATTGATAAGGATGAGATTACCCTTTAACTGTACCTTCCTGTGCACTCTACCACTTAAAGACACACTGGCTTCTAGTACCATGTTTGTTTGTTTCCCACAGCTTTTCTACTTTATTTTGTGGAGACTGACCAAAAAATAAACTCTAAACATAATGTAAATTGTAAATTAAACAATGTGACTGTTGGCTATATTAATACATTTTGAGACAAGCTAATACAATTGTATTTATGCTGATTTTCTGTCTTCCTCTGTGCTCATTTTTCACCTTTGTTGAAATTTGGATATTTTTAAATGTTGTATAGACAGTATGCACATGTTACAACCTATTATGACCTTTATATTCTTGTATGACCAGATATATTTCAGTAAGAGATGTTTTCTTAATTTTCCTGGATAGTCACCTTTTGAAGAGTCCGGTGGTAAGGATAGCTTTTTTGAATTTTCAGTAAGAGATGTCAGTCAGAGGTATTTTGGTAAGAGGTATTTCAGTAATGGTTTTCACAATTTCTGTTACACAATCTGTATGATAAGAAGATCAGAACAGTTCTGAGGGTGATGAAGTGATCACCTGCTTGTGTTCTAACTGTAGAGAGTGAACATAATAACAACCACTCTAACCAAACAGGACATATCACTGTTCTATTAATAGAACTGTTTGGCAAACTGATAGAGGAAATTGGGGAAATCTGTTTCATACTGTTGAATAACAAATGTTTCACATTAGGAAATAAATAATATTTGTATTAGAAACTGCCAAGATTTAAAGTTGCCTTTATACAGTACTACTCTGTGATTACTTTGGCAGCCAGAATGGCAGTAATCTGTTGTAACATACATTTCATTTAACTTATGGAACCAGGTCCTTGTTAAGTAAACCAAAAATGAAGGTCTACTTAGTATTTTATTGCCGATATTTTAATTTGCAAGCAAGCCACTTCTCTTAAGCAAGGAAGCGTTTCCAAAACATGTGCACAAGTGATGAAGACAACATGATACACAAACATCAGCCAATATACAATTGAATTGGTCAAAAACAGGTCATTTGATTTGGTCCTTGATTTGTCCACATACAGAACGGCAGAGGGCAGCATCGTTCGTAAACGTTGGAAGCGCGAGGCGGTTTTTTGTGAAATGTGATCCTCTGGCCCCGAACCCATTCGCGTTTCACCATGACCGCACTTATCACTGCCGCGACCATCTCGGAGCTGGAGACTCCAGTTCCTCAGATTCACAGTATGGAGAGCAGCTGACCAGACCGTTACTTTTCACCGGACCGTTATTCTATATTCTCGAGCCCCTACCCCAGTCATTTTTCCATGCTCGAAGTGCTAGACTTCAGAAACTAGTTGAACTGTTAGTTTTTGTAACTTTTTCTGTAGCACTGAAACCTTGACGTTTTGTTTTTAGATACTTTTTTCATAGTGTTGTTCCTCTCAAGGATGCGCAAAAGGATGGCCCATTTTCTGAATCAGAAGAGGAGCCTTTTGGATGTGCTCTACGTGTATTTGTCTGTTTCTGTAGTTCACTCCTACAACATTGACTTAGAACATCCTATTGTGTTCGGTGGACCTGACTCGAGTTTCTTTGGATATTCTGTTCTGGAGCACTATCATGACAATACGCGCTGGTAAGTCTCATAGGCTACCTGTTTACTCTTGATAGCCTATAACGCCTAGTATATATCTTATAGTGACTGTTATTGCAATGGGGACTGTTCATGCACTGATGTATCCGCCCTTGGACATGAATGGCACAGTTTGGTTGTTGCGCAATTCTTATGGATTGTATTTGGGGCATTCAGATTTGTGCGCGCTGCGTCGCCTGCATGCAGTTGTTGAAAGAATAGCCTAGCCTGCATGCATTTGATGAAAGAATAGCCTAGCCTGCATGCAGTTGTTTAAAAAATAGCCTAATGTGAGCTATAGCCTACAAAGTAAATAAATATCATTTTCTAAAACAATAGACTTACTCAATTGACAGTGTGTGGATGAAGTTTGCTCAATAGTCTACTGCTGCGCGTAAACGCCTTCCTCTTGTTTCATAAAACAGTCGATTGTCTTATGTCAACAGTTTGATTGATGTGCAGTATTTAAGAATGTGCATGTAATTAGGTTTATTTTTGACATTTTTTCTGTAGCAGCCTAGCTGACCTGTCCAAGATTCCAGCATGTAGCCAAAGCTGAAGTGATCATGTCCCCATAGTGGTCACAACTCCCACCATTGTCTTCATTGTCATGAGTCAGTTTGCTGATGCCATGACTGACCTATATACCCAGGGGTGGAGTCACTCGGGAACTCACCCATGTTACATTTTAGAATTCACCTTAGAAAGCAGATTTTCACATCAAAATCATTTCACTTTGGGAACTCGGCTACCATATTTGTCTTGAACATGGGGGGAATTACTCTGTTCTAGAGTGGGCCTTATGAAGACGATTATGAGATGTCATCATGTGACTTTACTGTGACAGCCCACTGGGCACAGAAGTCAATTCAACTTCTATTCCATGTTGGTTCGACATAATTTAATTGAAATGATGTGGAAACAACATTGATTCAACCAGTGTGCCCAGTGGGAGGATGTGTGTTATCAACATTATCCTTCATGCTGGGTGACAGCCACCCTTAGTCTCTTTATACAAGGTGTTCTTCTCCTCCTCCTGCTCTTCTTCTTCACAACGTCACGTGACTGTGTGACAGGATGTATTTGGTTTACTAATTTACACTGTGTGGTTCACACAATGTCCCTCCCATTGTTTCTGTATACAGGGTGCTGATAGGGCCCCGCAAGGCCAACTCGTCCTACTACAGCAGTCCTTCTTCTTGTAGTTGTTGTTCTTCTTCTTGACTGCTGTGACAGGATGTGTTGCGTTTACACTGTTTACAAACTATGTTTTGTTTCTGTCTACAGGGTGCTGGTAGGGGCACCCAAGGCAAACTCTTCATACAGCAGCTCGGTTCACACCCCGGGAGCCGTGTTCAAGTGCCGTGTCCACAGCAACCCAGAGAGACGCTGCACTGAGATGGACCTAGGCAGAGGTCAGTACTCAACCACAGACCACACAGTCACCAGGGACCACAGTAGAGCCATATGGATAACCACAGACCAACCACAAACTATATTGACCCTTAGGACCAGAGCCTTCTGTTAAGTATAACCCCCAGACCCCCAGGACTCAAGACTGGAGGCTTCTATGTATAGAGGGCTCTGCTCAGAGCTCAGAGCTACTGGCCGTGCATACAAGAAACAACCACACAGACATACCCCAACTCAATATTAGGATGTTCTTAATGTTTTGAACACCCAGTGTATATTGCCCACAGGCTTTAATGGGATGATTTTGACCATATTTGATTAATTAGGGGCGTTTCAAAATACAAATAGCCAAGGTCGTGCACTGAGGTTGAGAACAATTGGTATGTATCAACGTTTATCTCCTACCGGTGTGTGTATGACGCTCGTAGGATTGTTTGATAAATCACACATTTTCTATGTGTATGAACATTCTAAATTCTGTTCGTAAGTAGTATTTTAGAATGGTTTCTACGCAATATTTATAAATGAGGCCCATGGATCACAACCTTCTACAGAGAACTACTGACCATAGACACAGGACAGCTGACTATAGACAGACAGGACAACTGACCATAGACAGACAGGACAACTGACCATAGACAGACAGGACAACTGACCATACACAGACAGGATAACTGACCATACACAGACAGGACAACTGACCATACACAGACAGGACAACTGACCATAGACAGACAGGACAACTGACCATAGACATACATGCCAACTGACCATAGACAGACAGGACAACTGACCGTAGACAGACAGGACAACTGACCATAGACCGACAGGACAACTGACCGTAGACCGACAGGACAACTGACCGTAGACAGACAGGACAACTGGCCATAGACAGACAGGACAACTGGCCATAGACTGACAGGACAACTGACCATACACAGGCAGGACAACTGACCATAGACAGGCAGGACAACTGACCATAGACAGACAGGACAACTGACCATAGACAGACAGGACAACTGACCATAGACCGACAGGACAACTGACCATAGACAGACAGGACAACTGACCATAGACAGACAGGACAACTGACCATAGACAGACAGGACAACTGACCATAGACAGACATGACAACTGACCATAGACAGACAGGACACCTGACCATATACAGACAGGACAACTGACCATACACAGACAGGACAACTGACAACACTAACCACAAGACCTGAGTATTTCAAATAGACAGCTACAGTCTTTAACATTGGTCCTTTTACTTATAAATAATAAAGACATCCAGAAAGAGAGAAAATTCTCAGTGTGCTAGAAGTCCAGAAATATTTTGATAGGTATGATTAATGTTTTAGCTAATATTTTCCAAGTGGTTGTGCCAGAAGGTTTTCTGCAGTTCCTATTCTTGTGGACAAGAGAGAGAAGCTTTATGTTGGTTTAATAGAAACCCCCACTTACCCCTCTCTGTCACCAAGAAGCGTCAGGCCAGACGCTGTATATATATATATATTTTCTGTTGTATTTTTGACTTTATGTTTTGTTTTACCCCATATGTAACTCTGTGTTGTTGTTTTTATCGCACTGCTTTGCTTTGCTTTATCTTGGCCATGTCGCAGTTGTAAATGAGAACTTGTTCTCAACTGGCTTACCTGGTTAAATAAAGGTTAAATACAAATAAATAAATAAATAAAAGACATGGGGTCCTGTTGCAGTGCTCCTTCTCCCCCTCTGTCCCTCTGGTCTCTCTCCCCCTCTGTCCCTCTGGTCTCTCTCCCCCTCTGTTTCTGTTTCTCTCGCTCCCCCTTCACGCTCGCTCTCTCTCTCTCTCTCTCTCTCTCTCTCTCTCTCTCTCTCTCTCTCTCTCTCTCTCTCTCTCTCTCTCTCTCTCTCTCTCTCTCTCTGTCTTTCTCTCTCTCTCTCTCTCCCTGTCTCTCTCCCTCCCTGTCTCTCTCTCTTGATCGCTCCTATTCTTTCTCCCCGTCTCTCTCTCTCACACACACCACACGACACACACACCACACGACACGACACGACAGACACACGACACACACACACCACACGACAGACACACCACACGAAACACACACACACCACACAACACACACACACCATACGACAGACAGACACGGCACACACACACATACAGAGAGAGAGCTACCATGAATCACGGCAGACAGAGGGAGTTCAGCCCTAGGGTGCCTCAGAGAAAATATTAGCGTTGAACTCTGGAAATAGCGTCAATTATAACTTTTCTTATTTACACTGAATGCTCCAGTAAATCTGTGTGTGAATCACAAATGGCACCCTGTTTCCTATATAGCCTAGTGCACTACTTTACACCAAAGCCCTATGGGGCCTGGTCAAAAGTGCACTATATAGGGCATAGGGTGCAATTGGGGACACAGCCTGTGATCTGAGACAGGAGGCAGAGGAACTGAACCTTTTAAGGGCACCCATGCTGCTAAAGGAGAGAGAGATCAGCCCACTGCTTTTTTCTAAAGTTAAGTTAGATTCAGACTCTGTAAAAGCAGTGCCTTGATTGCAGGATTCATCTTGTGATGTCTATGTCTGCTAATTTACCCAACAGATCCTAATTTACTTTATTTGCCCGGTTAAGTGCATTCTTGTTAAAGTGTGTTCCTTTCTTACTGCTGTTTACTCCTTGCAGTCATGTCTTAATGGCACTAATGTTTTTATGTCTTGGTCTGCGTCCCAAATGGTACCCTAGGTCCTGGTCAAATGTAGTGCACTACGTAGGCAATAGGGGTGCCATTTGGGAGGGGACACAGTCTTACTCCTTTCTCAGACATTCCTTAGGTCTTTTTGATTTTCATTAACATTTATGAATTGCTTAAAGTTGCTGAGACAGAGAGCAAATGGACATAGAGGCCTAGAAGCCAGTCAAAATATAGCCCAGCACCATCAAGCCACTTGTATCTGTTAGCAAACATGAAATAACTGGGCAGCTCCTTTGGCCTAGAGTTCTGCTACACACTCTGTAATTATTAAACAGGGTAGGATGACCTTACAGTGATTCTGTCCTAAATGGCACCCTATTCCCTACATAGTGCATTACTTTTAACCAGAGCTCTATACACACACACACACACACACACACACACACACACACACACACACACACACACACACGACAATCTGGGCTGCAGTCTGGGATTTAGGCCATATCTGTTGACCCAAGAGTTGTTTGTTTGGTGTCAACACTGATTTAAAAAAAAAAAAAAAGGCTGTCTGGTATTCAGATCATTACAAGGAACTTGACATGGGACATTTTCCTGCAGTCTCAAATTGGAAGACTGTTCAATAGTGAACCAGGGTGGAACCCAGGATGTATGGATGCCATAAGACTGTGTTAGCTTGATGAGCTAAAGCCAAGGCATTATCTCAGGGCAGCTAACACAAGTCCTCAGACCTCAAGCAAGGTCAATCATCATCGGAGCATAGCTCACCGAACCACGTCAGCTACATCTACAAAAACAAAACAGATGAAAGATCAACATTAGAACTAGTTTGTTAGAACTGTATTAGAGACTTGTCTCTAGGCATCCCTTTTATCTGTTGAGTCTTTGTTAAATATTACAGTCATTGTTAACACACTGCTGTCTTCTGTCTGTCTCCTGTAGGGAACAAGCCCAGGGAGTCTTGTGGGAAGACGTGCCAGGGAGACAGGGATGATGAGTGGATGGGGGTCAGCCTCGCCCGGCAGGACAAATCCAACGGAAAAATACTGGTGAGTTCAAAGTTCACAGTACGACCCTGATCATCTGTTTTAATCTGTTTCATCTGTGTCTACCGAAGCATGCACTTGTACACTCTCTGTCATGGATTTGAAAGCATTGGATTGATGTACGCAGTTACTTCAGCAATTGTTTAACACAAACCATGTATGCTTGCAAAAGCTGCCGGGTTTAAACCACCATCATTGTTACAAATGTCTTTCCTTGAACCACATAGTTAAACCCCAGCTTTTCCTAATATCAAAATGCTCCTTAACAGGCAAATGCATGTTTTATTCCATTCTTTGGTTTTCAAGTAGAGGCACATGTTTTTGGCAATGCAGCATGATTGTTTTGAATTGGATAAGTGGACACAACTTAATTCCAAATAATTTACTTATACGACACAGCGACTGTGAAAATACAAAAAAAAATCCTTCTTTGTTTATTTGTTTTATTTGTGAGTTTGTGTGTGTTTCTGTATGTGTGTGCCTGTGTGTTTGTGTGCAGCTGTGCGTGTGTGTGTGTCTGTCTTTCTGTGTGTGCATGTGCGTGAGATGTGCATGTAAAAATCTATGTTTTCTTGTAATGGTTATTGTCGAAGATAGCTGTGAACCATGCATGCCGCTATCATTCTGTTAGCAGTTGAAGTTAAAAACACCTATGTAATCTTAAAGCAATCAACAGACCAACTATTTGCAGTACTAATCTCTGAAGTGCTAGCGTGGCCGTGGGTCTTTACTCCAGGGTCTCTTTTTGGCGCTTTACTCCCAGATCAGAGGGCAGCTGGCTGGGTTTGTTTAGGCTTCAGTCCCTGGCCCCTCCACGGTGGTGGTCTCCTAACCTTACTTTCATGAAGTGTTAACTCCTGCACCCTGCAGTGGGCGATGAAAGGACCAAGCCTCTCTCTTTGGCCCTGAAGCCTGTCTATGGCCCTGGGGGACATTCCATGGCCATGAGACTGGCTGGACGGTTTGGAGGCAGGCTGGAGTTGTCCGTAGTGGGCCGAAGGACACTTGTAAGGGCTATAAACCCATGTAGAGAAATAGACAGAGTAGAAGGACACTTGTAGCCTCTCTTGGCCTTGTGTAGAGACAGTCTGTAAACACCTCTGGCAGGTGTCAATGTGTTGACACACTTGTTGATAGGCTTCCCACCTCATGGGAGTTGGAGGAATCTTGAGAATTTGTGTTCAAACCTACTGTATGTTTTTTGCTATGGTCATTCTCCATTTCAATGCTTCCATTATCTGATCATTGCGGAGGGATTATATTTGCATGATGTTCAAACCCCTTCCAATGGTTATTATGCGTGAATGATAACAGATAAAGAGATTTAGGAGTGGTTTGTCTTGGGTAATGTATTCAAATCAAATTTATTGGTCACATACACATGGTTAGCAGATGTTATTGCGTGTGTAGCGAAATGCTTGTGCTTCTAGTCCCGACAGTTCAGCAATATCTAGCAAGTAATATCTAACAGTTCCACAACAAAAACCTAATACACACAAATCTAAGTAAAGGAATGGAATAAGAATATATAAATATATGGTTGAGAAATGTCATTATCAGAGTGGCATAGGCTAAGATGCAATTGATAGTATAGAATACACTATATACATATGAGATGGGTAATGCAAGATATGTAAACATTATTAAGATAGTATAAAATACAGTATATACATATGAGATGGGTAATGCAAGATATATAAACATTATTAAAATTGCATTATTAAAGTGACCTAGTGTTCCATTTATTAAAGTGGCCAGTGATTTTCAAGTCTGTATGTAGGCAGCAGCCTCTCTGTGCTAGTGATGGCCGTTTTTCAGTCTCTTGGTCCCAGCTTTGATGCACCAGTATTATAGTTGTTTGTAGGTGATGGCTGTTTTCTTAAGACCTTATCCCTTTGAGAAAAAAAAAGGACTCATCAAATTAGGCCGTCATTGTAAATAAGAATTTGTTCTTAACTGACTTGCCTAGTTAAATAAAGGTAATATATATATATATATATATATATATATATATATATATATATATATATATATATTTGAAATTAAGTGATACCAAAATGTTAGTTAAGGCCAGGCACCACAGGCTGAAATGACATTTTTGACATTAATTTTGAGATTTGTTGGTATTTTGGTCCATTAATATAAATATTTTCAAAAAGTAAACATACAAATGTCAAAAACTTTATGAACATTTAGATTTTCTTTAGTTTATCATACTACTGTCATCAAAAATGTTATGACTTTTGGTCTAAGGCACTGCATCGCAGTGCTAACTGTGCCACTAGAGATCCTGGTTCGAATCCAGGCTCTGTCGCAGCCGGCCGCGACCGGGAGACTCATGGGCGGCGCACAATTGGCCCAGCGTCGTCCAGGGTAGGGGAGGGAATGGCCAGCAGGGATGTAGCTCAGTTGATAGAGCATGGCGTTTGCAACGCCAGGGTTGTGGGTTCAATTCCCACGGGGGGCCAGTATAAAAAAATATGTATTCACTAACTGTAAGTCGCTCTGGATAAGAGCGTCTGCTAAATGACTAAAATGTAAAATGTAATCACTAAAAGGGACATACATAAATATTTTCAAAGCTCATTAAATTACACATCATTTAAAAGCCCATTTCATACCGTGTTACAAACTGGACTATATTTAGTAACTTACTTTGAAGGGATGGTGATTGGGACTAAATAGGCATTTGTTGTAGTCTAAATTCAGTGTACTTGTCTTTAACTGCCATTTCCCGAAAGTCTGATTCTTCCAACATGCCAACACATTTTTCTCAGCTTCAGAAGCATCTGCATTCACCAAATGTTGTGTGGCTATCCTTAGATATATTCTCCAGACTTGCCCGGAGGGAGTTATTGATATTTTGTAAATGTTTTATTCTAGATAAAAGTATCTTTGAAGAAATGCGCCAAAAGAGATAGAAAGATGAAGAAAAGTATTTATCCAAAAGTCTGGTCCTGGAGTGTCTTAGCGAAATTAAACAAAAATATTTCGGCTGATTTGTGTGATATGCAAATATGAAATATTTAATGACATATATCATTTGCATATTTTAATAACACATTTCAAAAATACAATTATACAAAAAAGTATTTCATTTGTGTCTACATTCAACTGGTAAAAGTTGATTGTGATATGATTAAGGGTAAAAAATTACCATATGAAGGTTTGGTGCCTGGCCTTAACTTTTACAGCAAATCAAGTGGCAGATTGTCCAAGTAGTTGTTTTAAACTCCCCAGCAGGTTTGGTAATAACAGAATGATAGTGAAGTTCCAGAGCCACGTGTTCATGGGCCCCTGTAGAGGTACGCTGTGTATAGACATATCTCAGGATCAAACTACTATCCATTCTGAGGGGAGCAGGTTGATAACATTTGTTTTTCATGTGGACTCACGTTTCTCTGCAAGAGGAGAGCACCGGCTTCTTGGCAGATGTCGCTCTGTGCTGTATGTATCAAGCGTCTCATAGTAGGAGTGCTGATCTAGGATCAGTTTTGTCTTTTAGATCACAATGAATAAGATTACATTGACAGGGGGTACTTGATCCTAGATCAGCACTCCTACTCTGAGATACATACAGCCCCTGAAGTACAGTTATTTCAACCGTGTGTTGCTGAAGGAAAGCCTAAAGTTTAACCAATCAGCTGTGTTTAACTGAAAGTCTAAACCAATCAGCTCTCAGACTGGACAGCAACATGTGTGACAATGGAACAGTTCCATATTTGGTCTCTGATTCTGGCAGAGAAACAAAACATTAACATTATGGTCTTACTAGTTTATTACTTGTTTATAATATACTGGTACAGTGAGTCAGGCCTGTTTGTGTTGTAGTACTGAATATGATTTAGTAGCAAGCTTGTTGGAGCACCAGTAGTACTGCTAGTGTTGTAGGCCAGACTGCTCTGCTCTGAAACACGTTTTTTCCAACACAGCCATACTTCTGCTAGACAGTCATCTGATGCTCTCTCTCTCTGTGCCCACAATCTGCTGCACAACTCTTCTACCCGCTTCAATAGGCTGTGTAACAATGTGGACTGGAGTTATCCTCCAGTATGATGGGGAAAAAGAGCTGAACTTTGTGTCTGTGTGTGTGTGAATGTGTGCATGTGGAAAACCGTTGAGAATATAACTCTCCCCATGAGCACCCAAAGGAACCCTGACCACTATCCCCACTGGGTTCTAAGACCAGTGGTGGAAAAAGTACCCAATTGTCATACTTGAGTAAAAGTAAAGATACCTTAACAGAAAATGACTCAAGTAAAAGTCACCCAGTAAAATTCTACTTTAGTAAAGTGAAAGGATATGGTTAAAAATATTATTAAGTATCAAAAGTAAATGTAATTGCTAAAATATACTTAAGTATCAAAAGTAAAAGTATAAATCATTTCAAATTCCTTATATTAAGCAAACCAGACGGCACAATTTTAGATTTTTTTATTTATTTACAGATAGCCAGGGGCACACCAACACTCAGACATCATTTACAAACTAAGCATGTGTGTTTAGTGAGTACGCCAGATCAGATGCAGTAGGGATGACCAGGGATGTTCTGTTGATACAGTGGGGGAAAAAAGTATTTAGTCAGCCACCAATTGTGCAAGTTCTCCCACTTAAAAAGATGAGAGAGGCCTGTAATTTTCATCATAGGTACACGTCAACTATGACAGACAAATTGAGATTTTTTTTCTCCAGAAAATCACATTGTAGGATTTTTAATGAATTTATTTGCAAATTATGGTGGAAAATAAGTATTTGGTCACCTACAAACAAGCAAGATTTCTGGCTCTCACAGACCTGTAACTTCTTCTTTAAGAGGCTCCTCTGTCCTCCACTTGTTACCTGTATTAATGGCACCTGTTTGAACTTATCAGTATAAAATACATCTTTCCACAACCTCAAACAGTCACACTCCAAACTCCACTATGGCCAAGACCAAAGAGCTGTCAAAGGACACCAGAAACAAAATTGTAGACCTGCACCAGGCTGGGAAGACTGAATCTGCAATAGGTAAGCAGCTTGGTTTGAAGAAATCAACTGTGGGAGCAATTATTAGGAAATGGAAGACATACAAGACCACTGATAATCTACCTCGATCTGAGGCTCCACGCAAGATCTCACCCTGTGGGGTCAAAATGATCACAAGAACGGTGAGCAAAAATCCCAGAACCACACGGGTGGACCTAGTGAATGACCTGCAGAGAGCTGGGACCAAAGTAACAAAGCCTACCATCAGTAACACACTACGCCGCCAGGGACTCAAATCCTGCAGTGCCAGACGTGTCCCCCTGCTTAAGCCAGTACATGTCCAGGCCTGTCTGAAGTTTGCTAGAGTGCATTTGGATGATCCAGAAGAGGATTGGGAGAATGTCATATGGTCAGATGAAACCAAAATAGAACATTTTGGTAAAAACTCAACTCGTCGTGTTTGGAGGACAAAGAATGCTGAGTTGCATCCAAAGAACACCATACCTACTGTGAAGCATGGGGGTGGAAACATCATGCTTTGGGGCTGTTTTTCTGCAAAGGGACCAGGACGACTGATCCGTGTAAAGGAAAGAATGAATGGGGCCATGTATCGTGAGATTTTGAGTGAAAACCTCCTTCCATCAGCAAGGGCATTGAAGATGAAACGTGGCTGGGTCTTTCAGCATGACAATGATCCCAAACACACCGCCCAGGCAACGAAGGAGTGGCTTCGTAAGAAGCATTTCAAGGTCCTGGAGTGGCCAACCCAGTCTCCAGATCTCAACCCCATAGAAAATCTTTGGAGGGAGTTGAAAGTCCGTGTTGCCCAGCGACAGCCCCAAAACATCACTGCTCTAGAGGAGATCTGCATGGAGGAATGGGCCAAAATACCAGCAACAGTGTGTGAAAACCTTGTGAAGACATACAGAAAACGTTTGACCTGTGTCATTGCCAACAAAGGGTATATAACAAAGTATTGAGAAACTTTTGTTATTGACCAAATACTTATTTTCCACCATAATTTGCAAATAAATTCATTAAAAATCCTACAATGTGATTTTCTGGATTTTCTTTTCTCATTTTGTCTATCATAGTTGACGTGTACCTATGATGAAAATTACAGGCCTCTCTCATCTTTTTAAGTGGGAGAACTTGCACAATTGGTGGCTGACTAAATACTTTTTTCCCCCACTGTAAGTGCGTGAATTGGACCATTTTCCTGTCCTGCTAAGCATTCAAAATGTAACGAGTACTTTTGGGAGTCAATGAAAATGTATGGAGTAAAAAGTACAATCTTTTCTTAAGGAATGTATTTAAGTAAAAGTAGTCAAAAATATAAATAGTAAAGTACAGATACCCCCAAAAAACGACTTAAGTATTTTTACTTAAGTACTTTGCACCACTGTCTAAGACTGCATCCCAAATGACACCCTATTCATTTTACATTTTAGTCATTTAGCAGACGCTCTTATCCAGAGCGACTTACAGTTAGTGAGTGCATACATTTTCATACTGGCCCCCCGTGGGAAACAAATCCACAACCCTGGCTTTGCAAGCGCCATGCTCTACCAACTGAGCTACAGGGGGATGTATTCCCTAGATAGATAGTGCACTACTTTTGACCAGAAGTACTTTATAATATAATAATATATATAATATGCCATTTAGCAGACGCTTTTATCGAAAGCGACTTACAGTCATGCATGCATACATTTTATTTTTTTGTGTATGGGTGGTCCCGGGGATCGAACCCACTACCTTAGCGTTACAAGCGCCGTGCTCTACCAGCTGAGCTACAGAGGACCACTTTGATCAAAGTAGTGCACTATCTAGGGAACAGGTTGTCATTTGTAATGTAATCTAAATTCTGACCACATTTCTGTGGCACCATTTGTGCAAAGAAGCTTGGAGGCTGCTGCCATAGTTTCCTATTAAAAACCCCTAAGGTCGATGTCCGCGCCCCTGCGGAAATCGAATTAGCATAATACAAAACTCCCCATAGAAATCTGTCAGTTTAAGCTAGAGATATCTGTTTTGCATTTGTTGCGTCTCAATCCACCGCATCCGCCTATGTCACACTTCCGCATCTGAGGTGAAAGGTGACAGAGCTAGAGCGGTGTTTGTCAGACCATGAGACATCCCAAAAATCGGTCTTCTCACAAAATCTGTAGTGTCCGAACGGTTTGGGCTACAAACTAATATGACCCCTCTGTGGAAAGGTGAGACTCTCACGAACACGGACATGTTGTTTTGCTCTAGGATGCCCACAGGCCTCACAAGACTTCTCTGAAGGTCCCCCAGTACCAGTTGAAAAATATTATGGAAGTATATATGGAGATTTATTAGTGCCAATAATAAGGGGTTAAATACATGTAAAAATAAAATTAAAAAGATGTTTCCTGATATTTATTATATCTCTCAGATATAGGACAGACACTTCAGAACAAACTTCCTTTAGATTTTTTTTGGGGGGGACTATCTGTTGTTCCATGTAGTGAATCTGTTATTCAATGTGTTTGTATGGGCTAATAGTAGTATGGCCAAATATATATATTTTTTAAATAATATTTTTTGATATTATAAGGGTCTTAAAATTCAATATCAAATAGCTGAATGATCCTTGGTATGACCTTCTTAAAACAGTCCATATAGCTTATTATACAACGGGTGAGTCTAATCCTGAATGCTGATTGGTTAAAACTGCATTCCAGCCAGTGTCTATTCCACAAGTTACCACCGGCTAAATCTATGACGTTAAGATGCCTATTTACTCTGTTCCGTCTGACTGCGCAATCCACTGTCTCATCAGCCCAGCAAGGCAATTTATAAACTTGATCTCCACTATAAAAAGCATCTAAACATTATCTCACATTTCTTTTAGACTAACATTTAGTTTTCAACAGCAAAGATTTGTATAAACCTAGCTGTTTGTCTCTCCGACATTTGCAACATTGTTTCAATATTCAAATTTGATCTCCAGCTGTCACATAGTAATGAACGTGTTGGGATGAGACAGACAGGCAGCTTTTCTCAGCCAGTCGAAATCATGAATCAGAATATTGTATGGATATATACAAATTAATATCAATAGAAAACAGGTCAAACGAAACGAAGTGCAGCTAGTTTTCAGTCTTTACAACTTCAGTTTGAAGTGATTGTGTTAGCTGTGTTTTTAGCTAGCTCCTCTGAACAACAGTGTCCTTACTAGAGAGCACATTTTCAATGCCAAGTGAAATTGTGCATCATTAGCTCATTGTTATGGATGTATCCAAATATATGTCACTAGAAAATAGCTTAAACAAATGCAAATGAAGCTACTTTGTTGTTATTCTGGCTGCACTGTTTGATGTGACTGTAAGTTAGCCATAGTTGGCTAGCTAGCAAGCAAGGGATGAGAACGTTGCCAGCCAGTATGGCAATAGAACATTTAGAACGAACGACTGGGTCGCGTCCATAGATGCAGAACAAAAAGACTGAACGACTTGGTCGCATCTCTAGCAACCGAACCGATTGAACATCGACCAGCCGGCTTGGGTAGCAACACTAGATTTGTGTCGGGACTATATCTTGTGGAAGGATGAAATAGTATTAATAAATTAATCAAAATAATGGTTTTAATGAAAATATGTCAATCATTATTTGAATATGTTGGTAAGCCCTGTCTTAGAAGGGGCTTAGACTCTTATGGGTTAACTTAAAACACACACACACACGTTTGTTTTGCTATCCTTGTGGGGACCAAAACATTTATTCCCATTGAAAATCCTATTTTCCCTAATCCCTAACCCTTAACCTAACCTTAACCCCTAACCCTAATTGTAACCCTAACCCTAAACTTAACCCCTAAGCCTAAAATAGCCTTTTTTCTTGTAGGGACCGGCACATTTTCTTTGTTTTACTATCCTTGTGAGAACTTCTGGTCCCCACAAGGATAGTAAAACCAAACCTTACACACATATACACACACACACAAAGAGATCGAGATAGTTCTGGAATGTTTATCCAAAATGCAAGAGGCTAAGGGATTATTTAGAGGAACACTTTCAACACTCAATATTAATGAAGAAAACAACTTTCTGGGACAGAAGGAATTTCAATGCTTTACTCCCTATCCAGACTCACACTAACATAACAGAAACAGCACTATAACGTTTTGAACATGAACTTGAAATTGAGGTCACTTCTTTAAAAAAAAGGTTATTATGATTTACAGTGCTTATCTATTTACGTCTGTGAGTTGGGGTATACGAGAATTAGCCACGGGATGGTTTTTCAATACCGTCAATACCGTATATATTTTTTTCTTTGAAGTATTTTAATAAATGTGAATATTTGTAGCTACTTTTTAAGTAAATACCTGCGGTCAACTTGTGCAATACGTTAGGAGATAAAGAAGATTGCATTCTTCATTTCACCTGTCACATAATTATTCATTATGAAGCTTACCAGTAGACCCCCGTCACGTGGTGTTTGTTTACAAGCACACAACGACAAGAGACCGGAACCTTGTGAGTCACTCACTGTTGTGCAGCATGCGCCAGGTGATCTAGTTAAAGTATGGAATTCACAACTACATTTTGCCAGCTAGATATCTTATAACTATTAAGTTAACTGTCTAAAATGTGCTATCTAAAATGGCTATAGGGTGAACGCACCAATTTGTGAGTCGCTCTGGCTAAGAGCGTCTGCTAAATGACGTTAATGTGCCCTTGAGCAAGGCACTTAACCCTAATTGCTCCTGTAAGTCGCTCTGGTTAAGAGCGTCTGCTAAATGACTAAAATGTAAATGTAAATGTAAGTGGTTAGAGTCTTGCGAAATCAAGCTTTCGCTTGGTAACAGCAGAGAATCCCCTCCTGGATCAAGAGCCTTGCTGTCTAACTGCTTGTAGCATTTTTGAGTCACTTGTATAACTTTATGAGCTGGGATGTCTGTCCTGCAAATAGTTTTGTTAGAAATTGCGTAATTCAAATCTGGTATTGGAATAAGAATCAAGAGATCTTCAATCCAAGCTTAATTTATTATATGCAAAATGTATGTATGATAAGTATGAAGGTTCGTATATACGGGTCCGCTGAGATACCATGCAGGGCACTCTGAGAACTGATCCATTGTTCTAAGTTCTTCTTCAAATACTCTGACAGAAAGCCTCTACCTCTTCTGTTGGCCAACCAGAGCAAAGGACTGAGTGTGGTCCAGACTCCATTCAGCCAATCCGTTGGCGCAGGGGTTGGTCCCAACTCCTCGGCACTCCATTTGTTGCCAGGCATAGTTGCTATGATAATAACCTGCGGAGTCAGCACCGAAAAGACACCATTCCACTGTACTCCATGTTCAAGGACAGTTTCACAGACTACAAAGAGAGAGTGTTCGTATCTGTAAGAAATACAAGTCTTATCTGTCCTACCCCTAACGTTCCCCACATGAATAACAGCCTGTTATGTGAAACAATCCATATCAGTACAGTGCTCCTCATTAATGCATTCCTTCCAAGCTATTCATCACATACAGATCCAATTATGAGAAAAATAAAACCCAACAGTTTAGGTCAAAGACTGTATAAAATTTTCGCAATGCGCTCGTTAACATTTAGTTAGCATTCGCTATGGGATAGTACATGTATTTGTTAGCATTGCTCGGGCTCCCGAGTGGCGCAGCGGTCTAAGGCACTGCATCTCAGTGCTTGAGGCGTCACCCTGGTTCGATTCCAGGCTGTATCACAACCGGCCGTGATTGGGAGTCCCATAGGGCGGCGCACAATTGTCGTCCGGGTTTGGCCGGTGTAGGCCGTCATTGTAAATAAGAATTTATTACCGAATATCCTGGGATGGCACAAGGTCGGTATGAAGGTATGACAATCTGGTACCGCCCAAGCCTAGTGTAAAGAACTTTTAGGAACTCAGTTGAGGAGCAGTGTAGAGAACACTGTAGCTCAGTTGGTAGAGCATGGTAGAGCATTGTGTTGGTAGAGCATTGTGCTTGCAACACCAGGATAGTGGGTTCGATTCCCGTGTCCACCCATACTTAAAATGTATTCACGCATGACTGTAAGTCGCTTCGGATAAAAGCGTCTGCTAAATGGCATATATAGAACTGGTTAAGGGCTTTTCACACTACTGAACTGAGCCAAACCAAGCTGTACAGAGCTGGCCAGGTTATTAGAGATGTGCATCTTTCCCTTTCAAGACAATTCAATACGTATCTAGATACATGGGCTCCGATATCATACAGGAACGGTACATTTTAGTTTGAAACGATTCTGGGCATCTACCACCCACTATCAGTTAGTTTGCTTTTTGTCCCCCACCCCACCCCCACACTTTTGATCTGGAATCACCATCAGCCACTAATGAATTTGTAATCTTTGCAGATTAAAAGTGTTAGAGATAGTAATGTATCAATATTTATCTTTAAAAAATTATTGCTGTCATCGTTATGATTTTTTCAACTTTACCCTGTATGTCTAAAAGGGACTATATACTGTATAGGCCTACTTATTGATTCAAGCAAAACTACCAAACTATTGCTGATGGTGAACCTGAACAATCAAAATTAAATCTAATGTAATCCCCGATCAGCGTGTAGCCTACCTATAGCCAGATGAGTTGTGTCTACAGCGATAACTTAGGCTACTTTTATTCTGGTAAAACACAATTTTCAACAGCACATTTCATAAAATAAACTAGCAAATTACATGGGTTGTAACTCAACTAATATGCCTAATATTGCGCAAGCCATTTTACAAACATTTGAATGCTGAAGGTGACGGGCAGATAGATGTGCCAGATCAGGAATAGCCGGTTTCGTTGGTCAGCGCGAATCTGCGCACAGCACGCAGTTTGACTAGGCTGCTGATATTGCCTGGGGTTGTTCGGCATTCAAAATGCCTTGTAAATCAATGACTGTCAACATAATTACATGCTTAGTTAGACACTGAAGGATAGGATGCAGTTGTCACAAAAGATGAGAGGTATTTTCAGAAGGTAGAAAGAAAGTAATTTGAGCAAAACATTTTAGTGAACCGTCAATTTGAATTGATTTCTGACCGATGCATGCAACATTTGGGGTCCTGCTGACCAACGCACAGGGACAGATGCATATCTGTGAATAGTTACATCCCTAGTGGTTATGCATCCACCGCAGTTGCTGGAAGCATGCTGAAAAGGACATGTGAAAAGAAGAAATCCTCCTGTGCTTGTAAAGTTTGGCTCGGGCCAGCACAATAGTGTGAAACGAGTAGGCTACTAGAAAGGAGCTCAGGGTGTTACTATGAACATGTTAAGAGAAATGATAGGAATTCAGAGGTTATTATTAACATCTTATGTTGAGTTAATTTATATCCCACCACATATAAAATTGCTATTTTGGAGACAGGGGATGTTCTTTATTTTGGAAGCAGGGGATGTTTAAACAAGAGGCTGCCTGGATCTTTAATTTAAAGACCCTTGCTCCCTTCGGTCTCAATGTAGAGTTTGATCTGAAGCCATTCTTGGGATTGTGTTTTTACTATCCATTGTAAATAATGTTTGTAGGCCTATGTAGCCAAATCGTATCTATGATCATATGTTATCCATTCATGCTTTTTTATATGTTCTATTTATATCTGTAAATCGACCAATGAAATCAAGCCACAGCCGGCCATGATTACAGACACCTGTGTGTGTCTTTTCAAACTATATAAACTAGTGACCCGCAGTGTTTGTCATTATACCCTGATGAAGACAGCTTGTCTGTTGAAACGTTGGTTATTACATTATTGCATCTGAGCTAGAGTGTGCGGCTCTCCCTTTCTTTTTCAAGATGTTCTTTAGCTGACCTGAACCAAGCTGCACTTAGCTGGCCTGGTTACATATCCACCATAGTTGCAGGAACGGTGCTGGCCAGAAAATAAGAGTCAGCACAGTTTGGTTCAATAGTGTGAAAAGAGACCTGGGAAGCAACTGAAATGTTAACATGAAGATGTTATGAGTTAGGTCTAACTAGGAGTTAGCATCTCGTCCCACCGCATATAAAATGTATGTTTTGGAAGCAGGGATTGTTCTTAAGCTGATGTTCAGATATTCACACCACAGACCAATGAGACCAGGGCCGTTATGGTCAAAGTTGGCTTTGCTTTCATCCCCCTTCTTCTCTGAGAACAGTTAATTTGGCAGCCACAGAGACAGTGGCTGCATCCCAAATGGCCCACTATTCCCTATATAGTGCATTATTTTTGACCAGGGCCCATAGGGCTGCTATTCGGGACGCAGACACACTGACTCCAGCTCTCATAATACAGAGTCGGTCTTGTCTTCTGCTTTGTGGATATCGAGTTACGGAAGAACTATTGCGTACATTGAGTGAAGTAATCCGGATGGTAGAATGGAGAATACACTTATTATGTCGCTGCAAGTGTTTGTGAATGCGCAATATTGGTTAATGTGTGTGGGGGTGGGATGGGGTGGGTGTGTTTGTGCATGCGTGTGTGTGTGTGCGCATGTGCTTCTATCTGTTGTTTCTGTCTGTCTGTCCGTTCTCTCAGTTATCTCTCAGAGGAGGCCAGCAGATCCAGTCATACCTGAGTGAGATGCCATGTCTCTCTGTCTGTTAGTGTCTGTGTGTCTGTCTCTCTGTTCTGACTGAACCTTTCATCATGTGTTTGATGCAGGCCTGTGCCCACCGTTGGAAGAACGTCTACTATGACTCTGAGCACATCCTTCCCCATGGTTACTGTTCCATCATCCCTCCTACGCTACAGGGCCGGACCCAAGCACTCATCCCCTGCTATGAAGGTACAGAAGTACAAACACGCGCACACACACACACCAACTGTACAGGACCAGACCCGAGCACTAATCCCTTGGTACGAAGGTACAGGAATGTCCTCAATGGTTCTCAATCTTTTTGGGTTACTGTACCCCTAATTAGATTTTGCTCTGCCTGAAGTACCCCCTCATGAACGACTGCTCGTCTATTTTCTCATGAGTCTTCCAAAGTACCCCCTGCTTATAGGCCAGTTACTCCGATGGGTAATAGCACCCCATGTTGAGAAACACTGCTTTAGATCCACTTCATGATATCAGGATTAGATCAAATAATGTAGAGATAGTTCCTTCCTGGTAAACTATGCATACATGGATGCCTTCATTCTACAGACAGACAGTAAGGTCATGGTTACTGCGCATTAATTTAAATGGAATTCTTCCATCAGCCAAATTGACTCACACTGTACACAACTTACAGACAGAGACAGACACAGAGACTTTACCAAAGTTTACTGAGTTTATAAGGAGGATGAGGGGGAGTGGGCTTGTGTGTTTAAGCAGTGTGTGTGTGTGTGTGTTTAAGCTGTGTATACCCTCTGCCCTGGGTTAGACAGTGCAGGTAGTTTATTATGGCATACGTTCTCTCCGGCTCTCACAATGAGTTATAGACTTACTGCACACACTCCAGATCACTGACTGATATCCTGGCTTTAAAGGCTAGCTGGCACTCTTAGAGCCTTGAAGTTCTCTCTCTCTCTCTCTCTCTCTCTCTCTCTCTCTCTCTCTCTCTCTCTCTCTCTCTCTCTCTCTCTCTCTCTCTCTCTCTCTCTCTCTCTCTCTCTCTCTCTCTCTCTCTCTCTCTCTCTCTCTCTCTCTCTCTCTCACCAACTTAAGAGAGAAATATGAGCTCTCAGTTTGGCAGGATGCAACACCTGGGTATTCCAAGGACACACACACACTTCATTATGCTGCTAAAGGATAAAATATTACACACACACACCCTATGCATCTAATCATATGCATTATGATCTGAAAGAAAAAGCTGATCCTAGATCAACACTTTGTGAATCATCCAAATTCAGATCCAGTACTGTAAGTTCATAGAGTATGAGTTGCCTAATTCCCTTTTGGGACCACCCTTTTTTACAATGTGTTAGGAGGGCTATGCTACAGCCTGTACGATTCTGATCTATATAAGCATTTACCTGTTCTACACAAGTGTCATGAGCTTGCGTCCCAAAAGGCACCTTATTCCCTACATAGTGCACTACTTTTGACCAGAGCCCTATGGGATTTCCAATGGGCCCTGATCAAAAGTAAAGCACTATATAGGAAATAAGGTGCCATTTGGGACGCAGCCAGGATTTCATTACATTATTTGTTTTGATTCGGTCAAGTGAGTTTCTTTTTCAAAGGCATTTATTTCTTGATTTGACTCGCAGGTTTAGATTTTTTTTTTTAGGTTTAGATTTTTTTAGATTTTACTTCCTTCCTTTCTGCTATTGCTTCCAATCGCACGGAGCCACTGCAGCTAGGCAGCTAAGCATGCGCGCACACACACACACACTTCAGCTAGGCCTCAGATGAGGCCATGTGTACCCTGTGATTCATAGAGATCCAAGCCCAATATTGTTCTGTAACTCGAGAGGTAGTGTCTCCCCAAGTGTGAGTTTATGTTTTATGTTGCCTTACTCTGTAGTTTTTCCTCTCAAAGTCTAACTCTGCTTCCCAAATGGCACCCTATTCCCTACATAGTGCAAAACTTTTGACCAGGGCCCATAGTGAATCCCATAGGGCTCTGGTCAAAAGTAGTGCACTATATAGTGAATAGGGTGCTATTTGGGACAAAGCCTAACTTTCTTCCTCCTGATTCCAGATTCCTACTTGGCTGGCGCTGAAGACTTTGACTAGGTCCATATGGAATGCAGGAATAAAAGGAGTAGAAGTGCTGGCTCAGGCACAAAGCGAAATCATTTGTGGTTTGTTTTTTCTTTGCAGACTATAAGCAGAAGTATGGGGAAGAGCACGGCTCGTGCCAAGCGGGGATAGCGGGCGTTTTTACTGAGGTCAGTAGCAGTGCATTCTCCACGTTCAACTTTTCTCTTCTTCTAATCTATGTGATACTGTGATACTGCTTCTGTGTCTCTGTTAGCTCAGTCATACTGTTTGGAGGCTGCTCTTTCAGTCTGGGATATGTTTCAATGCTCAAACACATGCACACTCTCTCACACACACACACGCCGGACACACACATACCGGACAGACACACACACACTGGACACATACACACACCGGACAGACACACACACACCGGACACACAAACCCACCACAAACACACACACATACATACAGATGACAAAACATACTGTTATTAGCAACGCGCATGCCCCGTCCATCTGAGAATCTGTCTTTTTCCTGTGTTTGACGGGTGAAAGATCCACTTGTCACTTAAATATCGCTGGATTTAATGCTTTCAAAAAGCAGACACTGATATCCCTTTGAGCATGGTGAAGTTATTAATTACACTTTGGATGCACTCACTAACTGCAAGTCGCTCTGGATAAGAGCGTCTGCTAAATGACTAAAATGTAAAAATGTATCAATACACCCAGTCACTACAAAGATACAGGCGTCCTTTCTAACTCAGTTCCCGGAGAGAAAGGAAACCGCTCAGGGATTTCACCATGAGGCCAATGGTGATTTTAAAACAGTGACAGAGTTTAATGGCTGTGATAGGAGAAAACTGAGGCGAGATCAACAACGTTGTAGTTACTCCACAATACTAACCTAAATGACAGAGTGAAAAGAAGGAAGTCTGTACAGAATAACAAATATTCCAAAACTTTTTGCAATAAGGCACTAAAGTAATACTGCAAAACATGTAGCAAATAAATACACTTTTTGTCCTGAAGACGAAGCATTATGTTTGGGGCAAATCCAACACAACACATCACTGAGTACCAATCTTCATATTTTCAAGCATGGCAAAATCCTAGATGAAAATCTGGTTCAATCTGCTTTCCACCTGACACTGGGAGACAAATTCACCTTTCAGCAGGACAATACCCTAAAACTGAAGACCAAATATACACAGGAGATGCTTACCAAGACGACATTGAATGTTCCTGAGTGGCCTAGTTACAGTTTTGATTTAAATTGGCTTGAAAATCTATGGCAAGACTTGAAAATGGCTGTCTAGCAATGATCAACAACCAACTTGACAGAGCTTGAAGAGTTTAAAAAGGAATAATGGGCAAATATTGTACAATCCAGGTGTGCAAAGCTCTTAGAGACTTACCCAGAAAGACTCACAGCTGTAATCGCTGCTAAAGGTGAATCTAACATGTATTGACTCAGGGGGTTGAATGCTTATCTAATCAAGATATGTTAGTGTTTTATTTTTCATTAATCTTGAAACAATGTTAGATTTTTTTCTTCCACTTTGAGATTACATAGTATTTGTGCTGATAAAAAAATGACAATTAAATCCATTTTAATTCCAATTTGTAACACAATTATTTCGGGGAAAAAGTCAAGGGACCTATAATCTTATTTTAACACAAAATATACAATAAATACCCGATACCATTACAAAATGTATATATGAGTTCATTCTAAGGAAGAAAAGCTAAATTTAACAGTATATATTGAATACTTGAATTCCCACCAAAACTCCAGTCATTATTTGTCTGTGCCAGTATGTGTTATAATTAATTTAACACCTGATGGATTTTGAGTTTTGGAGTACCTTCATCCATTGTCTGAGGCATTTATTAGAATTGTTTTCAAAAACATTTGAACAATTTTGATGACTGTTGCTACTGTTATGAGGCAGCTATTCGTCTGTCTGGATTCTGTTTTAAAGGCTGGGCTCTCAGCAGTCTTCAACATCAGCTCTGGATGAAGGTCATCAGACGATCTGCCCGATATTACTCCAGTATATTGCGTGAATGATCATTTACTGAATACATTTTACTTTTCATTTAGTTGAAGACACAGAAGTGGCCTTAGATTATCCTTCGTCTTTTGCCAGTTTTTAGGGGACAAAAGACTTTGAGGAGTTGAAATAGGGACATTAGTATCTATGTTGAGACAGACAGAAAGACAGACAGACATAAAGAAATCTACCAAAGCCGCCTTTCTCCTTACTCATTCCAGTTTCCATAGGCTACTAAGAGGGGCTGTGTTAACCTGACTTGACCTCTCTGATACACTGTAAGCCTTGTACCTCCAATAAAGAGATAGTGTCAGAAGGAAATACAGATTTATTTTGCCTTCACAGCGGAAACGCGGCTATCAGTCAAACACTTTGTTCTTCCATTCACACGTCTTTTTCATCAGTTTGATTTCTCCAGACTGTTTGCACAAGACGTGTTTTCTTCAGATAATTAAATTCTGGAGTGTGGTTAGTCTCACATGCTCCGGGTTACTTGTTTAACACCTGACCACATGGGCTGCATCCCAAATGACCATAGCTCTCTGGTCAAAATGTGTGCACTATATAGGGAATAGGGTGCCATTTGGGACACAGCCATGCTCTTTGTACTTAGTCTGTGCTTTGGTGGTGTGATATAAGGACGTATCAAAGAGTAGTGCGCCGTTTAAAGTTGTGCCAGTCCATTAAAGTGTAATCCAGTAATTTGACTTATTGAGTTATTTGCTGAGCTGTCTGTCTGTGTGCCCAGAGAAGAGCAGTGTTCTGTTCTATTCTGATAAGGCACTGGAACATAACAGCACCAACACCACCACCATTATCTTAACCTGACAGACAGTATCAGTTCCAAGCCCAGAACCAGGTCCGTCTTTCAAATTGCTGAGCTGTCTGTATGCCAAGAGAAGTGTTCCTATTTGAGGAGCATCACCTAACAGCAGTAGTGCCCAAAACCCAAGTCCATCTATCAAATCAGTTCAGACCATTATTTCACTCTGCTTTGGATCCAGATCATATAAGAACTTTGCATAGTTAACCTTTAAAAGGAATGAAAAAATAAAGTTATGCAATTTAGAAATATAAAAAGGTTTCAAGTTGCCATCAAATCAGTTCAGACCATAATTTCACTCTGCACCCCTGTACTGTGTGGAATCTAGCCTGGAATCCAAACTGCAGCCTGTGGGGAATCTTAGCCTGGCGTGCAACCTGAATATCACTCAGTTTCACTTCACAGGTTCAGTTTGGAACTACACCAATAGACAGACACTTGGACCGTCTAGATGAGAAAGTATTCAGTTTGGATTCCAGGCTATGTGGAATCAACATCGTATGAGACCTTTGCATAGTGCACGGCTGAACATTTATAAGGAATGGGAAAATAAGTTATGTAAGAGTAGGAATATCTATGAGCTTACAAGTTGCAGGTCAGGATTGTGTTACCAGAAGGTCGGAGGGTTGTTGGACTCAACAATGGAGTCGTCTGAACAAAGGAGCAAAGGAACAACACATTTTTTCCACTGCAGTCTATCCATACACAGACAAGCGAAGAGCTGTCAAAGACTCTTGGACAACATTTCAGTACAGAATATCAGAATCTGAGGAATGTTAGATATAATTGACAGCTGTTGTTCTTAACCTTTGTCTCTGAATTGTAGTTAATGTTCTTAGTATTCTAGTGTTTCACAGATGTGTGACAGCACGACGCATCTGACATTCTAGAATCTAGTGTGACCATCAGATCAAGGACTGACTGACCAATCAACTCCAGATGTTTGTTTCTTTACTTCCTGACTAGATACATTCTTGTCATTCCGTTAGACTTTTTGATGTTTTGTAACTTTCGTATTTTTTTTTTGTCACTGACCTGATGTTTTTGTTGTTTGCTTATTTGTTTTAAATTTGTTGTAGGTATATGCAGGGGTGAAAGTAACCGATACAGTACAGGAGTCCTGGAAAAAAAATGGTGGGGGTACACCGTACCATCTGAATATGAGCCTATATCACAATAATTAAAACAAAGATCCCAAGAAAACTGTAGGCTATTACACTATTATTTATCATTACTGCATGTCAGTATAATGAAAAATAAGCAAATGGACTTGAAAATCTGTGGAAGTACGCTCCAAAATGAGGTGTGGTTTGAAAATAACAGTGACATTTTGCCAAGGCAGAGATAAGTGGCCGAGACGCGCGCAGACAGCAGCGGATCAATTCAGGTTAAAAGTCCTATTTGACAATCGCCAAATGTCATTCATTACACCTTTTGGTGTTTTGTAACAGATGTCTCTTTCCATTCATCAAATGGCGGGTGCACTGCATGGATGCAGGAATTATTTTAGTGGACAAACATTTAAAGGAGCCTTTTGGACTGGTTGTGTTCATACCACATTAAAAGGTAATACATTTTAAAAGTGCGTGCACACACAGGCATAGCCGCGGGAAGTAGTTTGGAGGTGGGGGTGCTAAAACAATAATTGCAGGCGCTGAAGACATCGATATTGGTCAGCTAATACAGGACTAGTAAAGGCCCAGTGCACTCTTTTTGTGAGAAAAAAATTTCAACTAAATATATTGGAGTGTTTACCAGCATTTGTAACTTGAGTCTGATTATTATCTGTACAAAACAGTTAATCTGATAATACGTGTGGAATATAAAAATACTTGCTTGATAAGTTTTCCAGTTTCTTGAAAGACTTTGCAAATGCAACATATCTCTATGTGAAAAATGAAACGGTCTATTCATTTATTTTCCATTTTAGTAAATGCTCTTATCCAGAGCAACTTACGTTAGTGAGTGCATACATTTTCATACTTTTTCGCACTGGTCTCCCATGGGAATCAAACCTACAACCCTAGCATTGCAAGCGCTATGCGCTACCAACTGATCCACATCATCACAGCACATACAGTACCAGTCAAAAGTTTGGACACACCTACTCATTGAAGGGTTTTTCTTTATTTTTACTATTTTCTACATTGTAGAATAATAGTGAAGACATCAAAACTATGAAATAACACATATGGAAACATGTAGTAACCAAAAAATTGTTAAACAAATCAAAATATATTTTATATTTGAGATTCTTCAAATAGCGACCCTTTGCTTTAATGACAGCTTTGCACACTCTTGGCATTCTCTCAACCAGCTTCATGAGGAATGCTTTTCCAACTGTCTTGAAGGAGTTCCCACATATGCTTAGCACTTGTTGGCTGCTTTTCCTTCACTCTGCGGTCCAACTCATCCCAAACCATCTCAATTGGGTTGAGGTCAGGTGATTGTGGAGTCCAGGTCATCTATGCCGCACTCCATCACTCTCCTTCTTGGTCAAATAGCCATTACACAGCCTGGAGGTGTGTTGGGTCATTGTCCTGTTGAAAAACAAATGATAGTCCCACTAAGCCCAAATCAGATGGGATGGCGTATCGCTGCAGAATGCTGTGGTAGGCATGCTGGTTAAGTGTGCATTGAATTCTAAATAAATCACAGACAGTGTCACCAGCAAAGCACCATCACACCTCCTCCTCCATGCTTCACGGTGGGAACCACATGTGTGGAGAGGTCATCCGTTCACCTACTGTGCGTCTCAGAACGACACGGCAGTTGGAACCAAAAATCTCAAATTTGGACTCATCAGACCAAAGGACAGATTTCCACCGGTCTAATATCCATTGCTTGTGTTTCTTGGCCCAAGTAGGTCTCTTCTTATTATTGTTGTCCTTTAGTAGTGGTTTCTTTGCAGCAATTCGACCATGAATGCCTGATTCACACAGTCCCCTCTGCACAGTTGATGTTGAGATGTGTCTGTTACTTGAACTCTGTGAAGCATTTATCCTCTGCAGCAGAGGTAACTCTGGGTCTTCCATTCCTGTGGCGGTCCTCATGAGAGCCAGTTTCATCATAGCGCTTGATGGTTTTTACGACTGCACTTGAAGAAACTTTGGAAGTTCTTGACATTTTCCGGATTGACTGACTGTCATGTCTTAAAGTAATGATGGACTGTCGTTTTTCTTTGCTTATTTGAGTTGTTCTTGCCATAATATGGACTTGGTCTTTTACCAAATAGGGCTATCTTCTGTATACCACCCCTACCTTGTCACAACACAACTGATTGACTCAAACGCATTAAGAAGGAAAGAAATCCCACAAATTAACTTTTAACAAGGCATACCTGTTAATTGAAATGCATTCCAGGTGACTACCTCATGAAGCTGGTTGAGAGAATGCCAAGAGTGTGCAAAGCTGTCATCAAGAATCCCAAATATAAAATATATTTTTATTTGTTTAACACTTTTTTGGTTACTAAATGTTTCAATGTGTTATTTCATAGTTTTGATGTCTTCACTATTATTCTACAGTGTACAAAATAGTATAAATAAAGAAAAACCCTTGAATGTAGGTGTGTCCAAACTTTTGACTGGTACTGTACCTTAATAGAAAATGACTCAAGTAAAAGTCACCCAGTAAAATACTACTTGAGTAAAAGTCTAAAAGTATTTGGTTTTAAATATACTTAAGTATCAAAAGTAAAAGTAAAGGTATAAATCATTTCAAATTCCTTATATTAAGTAAACCAGGCGGCACAATCTTCTTGTTTTTTAAATTTACGGATAGCCAAGGGCACACCAAAACTCCGCCAGATCAGAGGCAGTAGGGAAGACCAGGGATGTTCTCTTGATTAGTGTGTGAATTGGACCATTTTCCTGTCCTGCTAAGCATTCAAAATGTAACAAGTACATTTGGGTGTCATGTATGGAGTAAAAAGTACATAATTTTCTTTAGGATTGTCATTAAGTAAAAGTTCTCAAAAATATAAATAGTAAAGTAATGTACAGATTCCCCAAAAAATTACTTAAGTAGTTCTTTAAAGTATTTTTACTTAAGTGCTTTGCACCACTGCCTATTGGATATTTTCCCTAATGTGTAAACAGCAACAAAAAAAAAACACATGGATTCTGATCTATTGACTTCCTTATCCAAACCCGATCCTCCATATGCGACTTCTGTCTGGATGCTCAGATCAGATATTTTTGCTCTGAAGTGGTTTTATTTCACATGACCGTTACTATTACAACCACCCCAAAATTTCAAGGAACAGTGACAGGAATTGAGCATTTCATCTGTGTGCTACTTCAGAGGCTGCATCAGTGTGAATGCGCAAATCTGATATGGGTCACATGTAAAACTATGTGTGGACAGTCAGGAAAAAAAGATTGGATATAGAAAGAAAATCAGATTTGGGTTCTTTGGGTGGCTGTGTAAACACAGCCTAACATTGTTAGATGTGTGGTCATTCTCAGGAGCTGGTGGTGATGGGAGCTCCAGGATCATACTACTGGACAGGAACAGTCAAGGTCTACAACCTGACCTCCAACACCTTCTACAACCCCAACAAAGAAGACGTTGACTCACACAGATACAGCTATCTAGGTATGTTTACTTTGGTTGATTTCATCGATTAATCACTCACGTAATCGATCAATCTGTCTGTCGGTCGGATATTCAGTCAGTTGATTAATTAATCAATCAATCAATCAATTAATAGCCCAATCAATTCATAAATCATCAATCAATGAAATGTATTCACAAAGCCCTTTTTAAATTACAGTACACTTTACACTACACTAACCTGGTCTAGACCCTCAAAGAGCACGAGTAAAAGAGTTGACCACCTGTATCTAATTTCTTTGATTGTATTGGCAACTCTGACTGATTCTGTCTGTCTCTCTAGGCTATGCTGTGACTAACCACTATTTCATGTAAAGTCTGACTTTCTGTCTCTCTAGGCTATGCTGTGACTAACCACTATTTCATGTAAAGTCTGACTTTCTGTCTCTCTAGGCTATGCTGTGACTAACCACTATTTCATGTAAAGTCTGACTTTCTGTCTCTCTAGGCTATGCTGTGACTAACCACTATTTCATGTAAAGTCTGACTTTCTGTCTCTCTAGGCTATGCTGTGACTAACCACTATTTCATGTAAAGTCTGACTGTTTCTGTCTCTCTAGGCTATGCTGTGACTAACCACTATTTCATGTAAAGTCTGACTGTTTCTGTCTCTCTAGGCTATGCTGTGACTAACCACTATTTCATGTAAAGTCTAAATGTTTCTCTCTGTCTCTCTGGGCTATGCTGTGACTAACCACTATTTCATGTGAAGTCTGACTGTATCTGTCTCTCTGTATCCCTAGGCTATGCTGTGACTGCTGGACACTTCTCCTCTCCTAACTTCATAGATGTGGCTGCAGGAGCTCCACAACACAGTGGAGGGGGAAAAGTATGTGCTGGATTTGATTGGTTGTTTTAGAAGGAGTGTCATATCTTTGTATTTAATATTATAACATTGATATGTTTACACTGTATTTGAACACTGATTTGTTAACACTGTATTTTAACACTGATTTGTTAACACTGTATTTTAACACTGATTTGTTAACACTGTATTTTAACACTGATTTGTTAACACTGTATTTTAACACTGATTTGTTAACACTGAATTTTAACACTGTATCCTCCTCTCCCTCCAGGTTTACATTTTCAGAATCGATGGTGGGTCTTTGGTGAAGATCTTTCAAGCCTCAGGGAAAATGGTATGTGTCTGAAATATAAATCACAGCTATCTACTATGCTGTTTGACCATTACTACATAACAGTGACATGTTGTTTCTTTAGTGTGTCAGTAGTAATCACTGTTCACTTCTACCATCTGTTAGTATTCTTTGTTATTAGAAATAACATAGGCCTACACTTCAGTGATAATGGACACATGCCATTCCTGGACACATGCCTAGTCCTGTGATAAAAAGCATGCTCAATGGAGAGTCTCTAGACTTAATCAGGGTCTGGGAAACCAGGCCCCATGTGTTGTAGAGTACACATACTGTAGCTGGTGCAGGTGAAGCATGGCAGTCTGTTAGTTAATGGTTTTCTCAGAAGCACCACACTGTTTATGTTGTGTATGTAAAGTGTTTAGAGAGCTCTAGACTTGCATCCCAAATTGCACCCATTGGGCTCTGGTCAAAAGTAGTACACTATGTAGGGATAGGGGTGCCATTTGGGACACATCCCTAGTCTGGCCAGGAACCAGACAGCTAGGGAGGGTAATTCACATGGTAAGAGTAAATAACAAGTCAATCTTTGTAGATAAAGACCTAAGTTTTGTAAATATTCCTTTAATATTGGTAGAGATATGAAATGGAAAATAAATCCAGTCAGATTGTGGAGGGAGAGAATGATGAAAGTATAAAGGAAGTGCCTGTCTGTCTTGAGGGCATGGGCAAAAGCAGACCTCATTGGCAATGAGTAGAGTAGAACAGAATATAATACAATATTATAGGACAGAATAGGATAGAGCGGAGCGGAACAGAACAGAATGAAAATAATAGAATAGAATAGGAGATCATATTTTTCCTATAGGGAACTTAATAATAATAATAATAATAATAATAATAATAATATGCCATTTAGCAGACGCTTTTATCCAAAGTGACTTACAGTCAAACTTCAGTTGTGGCTAATAATTAAGAGAATAAATACACACACACAATTTGCATGACAGATACATTATACTAGATCAACATCAATAATAATGTTTCAATGAAAAGACTGCTCTGACCAGTGGTTTGTCTGACTGTGTGGCTCTGTGGCTGTGCTTGGTTCCAGATGCAGGGCTCTTATTTTGGCTCCTAATTGTGTGAATAGAATACATGTCTAACTTTATACACAAGATGAATACAACGTTACGTATTTTCACTGATGTGATGTCTGACCCAATGCTACCTGTCTGTGTGGCTCTGTGGCTGTGCTTGGTTATTTTCCAGATGGGCTCTTACTTTGGCTCCTCATTGTGTGCAGTTGACCTGAACCGGGACGGCCTGTCGGACCTGCTGGTTGGAGCGCCCATGCACAGCACGCTACGGGACGAGGGACAGGTCTCTGTCTACCTCAGCAAGGGCAATGTGAGTGGGATGAGTGGGATCTGGGTTAGATGGGAATAGAGTTGGAAATTATGTGAACTTTCTGAAATGTCCCAGATTTTCCAGAAGTGGGATTTCTGAAAAACATTGGAAATGTACAGTATATTCTAGCCCTCCAGTCAACCTGTGTCTAACCCACCATATAGAAACATGGCTGCCTTTACAACCTGGTATCATAGACCAGATGTAACAGTACACGTAAATCCAGGACACTCAAATTAGTATGATATGTCACGTTTGGTATGGTTACGTAAGACAGATGGTTACTTAAGGCAAAAACAAAAGTAGGGTGGTTGGTCGGGGTGGATGGGTTCAGTGTATATTATGACCTACATATATTGTTTATCTGTCCATGTCTGACTAGCTTTTTGGTTAACAAAATGTTATTACCTCGAAGAATGTTTGATTTAACAGTGGGGATTATTTAACTTTGTGTAGATTGGTGTCTGTGGTTGATCCTGTTCTATTTGTGAGTTGTCGTTAGGATCTTATAACTAGCTCGTCTTGGAAGTTGTTAGTGTGTGTTTGGTTGTTTGAGTTTTTAATGAAAGTCAAATAACTACAGTGAGGGGAAAAAGTATTTGATCCCCTGCTGATTTAGTACGTTTGCTGATCAGTCTATAATTTTAATGGTAGGTTTATTTGAACAGTGAGAGACAGAATAACAACAACAAAATCCAGAAAAACGCATGTCAAAAATGTTATAAATTGATTTGCATTTTAATGAGGGGAATAAGTATTTGACCCCCTCTCAATCAGAAAGATTTCTGGCTCCCAGGTGTCTTTTATACAGGTAACGAGCTGAGATTAGGAGCACACTCTTAAGAGCGTCTGCTAAATGACGTAAATGTAAATGTAAATGTAAAGGGAGTGCTCCTAATCTCAGTTTGTTACAGTGAGGGAAAAAAGTATTTGATCCCCTGCTGATTTTGTACGTTTGTCCACTGACAAAGACCTGATCAGTCTATAATTTTAATGGTAGGTTTATTTGAACAGGGAGTGACAGAATAACAACAATTTAATCCAGAAAGACGCATGTCAAAAATGTTATGAATTGATTTGCATTTTAATGAGGGAAATAAGTATTTGACCCCTCTGCAAAACACGACTTACTACTTGGTGGCAAAACCTTTGTTGGCAATCACAGAGGTCAGACGTTTCTTGTAGTTGGCCACCAGGTTTGCACACATCTCAGGAGGGATTTTGTCCCACTCCTCTTTGCAGATCTTCTCCAAGTCATTAGGGTTTCGAGCCTGACGTTTGGTAACTCGAACCTTCAGCTCCCTCCACAGATTTTCTATGGGATTAAGGTCTGGAGACTGGCTAGGCCACTCCAGGACCTTAATATGCTTCTTCTTGAGCCACTCCTTTGTTGCCTTGGCCGTGTGTTTTGGGTCATTGTCATGCTGGAATACCCATCCACGACCCATTTTCAATGCCCTGGCTGAGGGAAGGAGGTTCTCACCCAAGATTTGACGGTACATGGCCCCGTCCATCGTCCCTTTGATGCGGTGAAGTTGTCCTGTCCCCTTAGCAGAAAAACACCCCCAAAGCATAATGTTTCCACCTTTCTTGTGTAGGTCTACAATCTTGTCCCTGACATCCTTGGAGAGCTCTTTGTCTTGGCCATGGTGGAGAGTTTGGAATCTGATTGATTGATTGCTTCTGTGGACAGGTGTCTTTTATACAGGTACAGTGAGGGAAAAAAAGTATTTGATCCCCTGCTGATTTTGTACGTTTGCCCACTGACAAAGAAAGATCAGTCTATAATTTTAATGTTAGGTTAATTTGAACAGTGAGAGACAGAATAACAACAACAAAATCCAGAAAAACGCATGTCAAAAATGTTATAAATTGATTTGCATTTTAATGAGGGAAATAAGTATTTGACCCCCCTCTCAATCAGAAAGATTTCTGGCTCCCAGGTGTCTTTTATACAGGTAACGAGCTGAGATTAGGAGCACACTCTTAAAGGGAGTGCTCCTAATCTCAGTTTGTTACCTGTATAAAAGACACCTGTCCACAGAAGCAATCAATCAATCAGTTTCCAAACTCTCCACCATGGCCAAGACCAAAGAGCTCTCCAAGGATGTCAGGGACAAGATTGTAGACCTACACAAGGCTGGAATCGGATACAAGACCATCGCCAAGCAGCTTAGTGAAAAGGGGACAACAGAAGAAACCCAAAAGAACTGTCAATCTCCCTGGGCCTGGGGCTCCATGCAAGATGTTTTGTATTTTTATTTAACCTTTATTTAACCAGGTAAGCCAGTTGAGAACAAGTTCTCATTTACAACTGCGACCTGGCCAAGATAAAGCAAAGCAGTGCGATAAAAACAACAACACAGAGTTACATATGGGGTAAACAAAACATAAAGTCAAAAATACAACAGAAAATATATACAGGTAAAAGTCAGTAAATTAGAATATTTTGAAAAACTTGATTTATTTCAGTAATTGCATTCAAAAGGTGTAACTTGTACATTATATTTATTCATTGCACACAGACTGATGCATTCAAATGTTTATTTCATTTAATTTTGATGATTTGAAGTGGCAACAAATGAAAATCCAAAATTCCGTGTGTCACAAAATTAGAATATTACTTAAGGCTAATACAAAAAAGGGATTTTTTAGAAATGTTGGCCAACTGAAAAGTATGAAAATGAAAAATATGAGCATGTACAATACTCAATACTTGGTTGGAGCTCCTTTTGCCTCAATTACTGCATTAATGCGGCGTGGCATGGAGTCGATGAGTTTCTGGCACTGCTCAGGTGTTATGAGAGCCCAGGTTGCTCTGATAGTGGCCTTCAACTCTTCTGCGTTGTTGGGTCTGGCATTCTGCATCTTCCTTTTCACAATACCCCACAGATTTTCTATGGGGCTAAGGTCAGGGGAGTTGGCTGGCCAATTTAGAACATAAATACCATGGTCCGTAAACCAGGCACGGGTAGATTTTGCGCTGTGTGCAGGCGCCAAGTCCTGTTGGAACCTGAAATCTCCATCTCCATAGAGCAGGTCAGCAGCAGGAAGCATGAAGTGCTCTAAAACTTGCTGGTAGACGGCTGCGTTGACCCTTGATCTCAGGAAACAGAGTGGACCGACACCAGCAGATGACATGGCACCCCAAACCATCACTGATGGTGGAAACTTTACACTAGACTTCAGGCAACGTGGATCCTGTGCCTCTCCTGTCTTCCTCCAGACTCTGGGACCTCGATTTCCAAAGGAAATGCAAAATTTGCTTTCGTCAGAAAACATGACTTTAGACCACTCAGCAGCAGTCCAGCTCTTTTTTTCCTTAGCCCAGGTGAGACGCTTTTCGCGCTGTTTCTTGGTCAACAGTGGCTTGACACGAGGTATGCGGCAGTTGAAACCCATGTCTTTCAAGCGTCTCTTGGTGGTGGATCTTGAAGCCCTGACTCCAGCAGCTGTCCACTCCTTGTGAATCTCCCCCACATTTTTCAATGGTTTTTTTTTCACAATCTTGACTAGGGCGCGGTGATCCCTATCGCTTGTACACTTTTTCTGACCACAGTTTTTCCTTCCCTTTGCCTCTCTATTAATGTGTTTGGACACAGAGCTCTGAGAACAGCCAGCCTCTTCTGCAATAACCTTTTGTGTCTTTCCCTCCTTGTGCAATGTGTCGATGGTCGCCTTTTGGACAGCTGTCAAATCTGAAGTCTTCCCCATGTTTGTGTAGGCTTCAGAACTGGACTGAGAGACCATTTAAAGCCCTTTGCAGGTGTTTTGAGTTAATCAGCTGATTATTTTGTGGCACCAGGTGCCTTCAAAATGTAACCCTTACACAATATTCTAATTTTGTGACGCACGGAATTTTGGATTTTCATTTGTTGCCACTTCAAATCATCAAAATTAAATGAAATAAACATTTGAATGCATCAGTCTGTGTGCAATGAATAAATATAATGTACAAGTTACACCTTTTGAATGCAATTACTGAAATAAATCAAGTTTTTCAAAATATTCTAATTTACTGACTTTTACCTGTATATACAGTGTGTGCGAATGTAGTAAGTTATGGAGGTAAGGCAATAAATAGGCCATAGTGCAAAATAGTTAGAATTTCGTTCCACATTGGGTGAGGCGGGTTGCAGGAAAGTATATTTAGTTAAAGGATGGAAAGTGATATTGAGAAATATATACGAAAAAGACAAAAAAACTAAAAACTGGTTATTTGCATGAGGACACTACAAAATACACGACCGCACTGCTATGCCATCTTCGAATTCGTGGAGTTGAAATGATCTTTGAGAACGGTGAGGAATCAGCCCAGAACTACATGGGAGGATCTTGTCAATGATCTCAAGGCAGCTGGGACCATAGTCACCAAGAAAACAATTGGTAACACACTACGCCGTGAAGGACTGAAATCCTGCAGCGCCCGCAAGGTCCCCCTGCTCAAGAAAGCACATATACAGGCCCGTCTGAAGTTTGCCAATGAACATCTGAATGATTCAGAGGAGAACTGGGTGAAAGTGTTGTGGTCAGATGAGACCAAAATGGAGCTCTTTGGCATCAACTCGCATGTTTGGAGGAGGAGGAATGGTGCCTATGACCCCAAGAACACCATCCCCACCGTCAAACATGGAGGTGGAAACATTATGCTTTGGGGGTGTTTTTCTGCTAAGGGGACAGGACAACTTCACCGCATCAAAGGGACGATGGAAGGGGCCATGTACCGTCAAATCTTGGGTGAGAACCTCCTTCCCTCAGCCAGGGCATTGATAATGGGTCGTGGATGGGTATTCCAGCATGACATTGACCCAAAACACACAGCCAAGGCAACAAAGGAGTGGCTCAAGAAGTAGCACATTAAGGTCCTGGAGTGGCCTAGCCAGTCTCCAGACCTTAATCCCATAGGAAATCTGTGGAGGGAGCTGAAGGTTAGAGTTGCCAAACGTCAGCCTCGAAACCTTAATGACTTGGAGAAGATCTGCAAAGAGGAGTGGAACAAAATCCCTCCTGAGATGTGTACAAACCTGGTGGCCAACTGCAAGAAACGTCTGACCTCTGTGATTGCCAACAAGGGTTTTGCCACCAAGTACTAGGTCATGTTTTGCAGAGGGGTCAAATACTTACTTCCCTCATTAAAATGCAAATCAATTTATAACATTTTTTACATGCGTTTTTCTTGATTTTTTTGTTGTTGTTATTCTGTCTCTCACTGTTCAAATAAACCTACCATTAAAATTATAGACTGATCATGTCTTTGTCAGTGGGCAAACGTACAAAATCAGCAGGGGATCAAATACTTTTTTCCCTCACTGTAAATGAAGGGGAAAGTGGCCATCTATAGCCGATAGAGAAAGTTCCTCAACTGTTATAGGAGAAAGCTGGATGTATTTTAGTTAGTAGTCAGTTATAACCATTCTACTTTTAAGTAAAGGGTTGTGTCATGCGATAACTGCTCCACTTTTATAGTAATGGCTATGTCACATAATATCCATTCCCCTGTAATGGGTTGTGTCACGTCATAACTATTCCCCTTTAATATAATGGGTTGTGTAACATCATACATATTCCTCTGTAATGTCTTGTCACATTTAACAATTTCCCTTTAAAGTAAAGGGCTGTGTCACGTCATAACCCTTCCCCTTTAAAGTAAAGGGCTGTGTCACGTCATAACCCTTCCACTTTAAAGTAATGGGTTTTGTCACGTCATAACCCTTCCCCTTTAAAGTAATGGGTTTTGTCACGTCATAACCCTTCCTCTTTAAAGTAATGGGTTTTGTCACGTCATAACCCTTCCACTTTAAAGTAATGGGTTTTGTCACGTCATAACCCATTACTTTAAAGTGGAAGGGTTATGAAGTGACAAAACCCATTACTTTAAAGGGGAATGGTTATGACGTGACAAAACCCATTACTTTAAAGTGGAAGGGTTTTGTCACGTCATAACCCTTCCCCTTTAAAGTAATGGGTTTTGTCACTTCATAACCCTTCCACTTTAAAGTAATGGGTTTTGTCACGTCATAACCCTTCCACTTTAAAGTAATGGGTTTTGTCACGTCATAACCCTTCCACTTTAAAGCAATGGGTTTTGTCACGTCATAACCCTTCCACTTTAAAGTAATGGGTTTTGTCACGTCATAGCCATTCCACTTTAAAGTAATGGGTTTTGTCACGTCATAACCCTTCCACTTTAAAGCAATGGGTTTTGTCACGTCATAACCCTTCCACTTTAAAGTAATGGGTTTTGTCACGTCATAACCCTTCCTCTGCCATGCCCACTTTAAAGTAATGGGTTTTGTCACGTCATAACCCTTCCACTTTAAAGCAATGGGTTTTGTCACGTCATAGCCATTCCACTTTAAAGTAATGGGTTTTGTCACGTCATAACCCTTCCACTTTAAAGCAATGGGTTTTGTCACGTCATAACCCTTCCACTTTAAAGTAATGGGTTTTGTCACGTCATAACCCTTCCACTTTAAAGTAATGGGTTTTGTCACGTCATAGCCATTCCCGTCTGACTCTATTTGCAGGGGGTGATGGAGGAGGCTGAACTCTTAAATGGAGATGATGCCTATAATGCACACTTCGGCGAGTGCATCGCTGCAATCGGAGACATCGATGACGATGGATACCAAGGCAAGTGTCTCTCAACTAAGTCACTGTGTTTTCAAGTATAGAATGTACACTAGCGTTCAAAGGTTTGGGGTCACTTAGAAATGTCCTTGTTTTCAAAAGAAAAGCAATTTTTTTGTCCATGAAAATAACATCAAATTGATCAGAAATACAGTGTAGACATTATTAATGTTGTAAATGGCTATTGTAGCTGGAAACGGCTGATTTTTAATGGAATATCTACATAGGCGTACAGAGGCCCATTATCAGCAACCATCAGTCCTGTGTTCTAATGGCACGTTGTGTTTGCTAATCCAAGTTTATCATGTTAAAAGGCTAATTGATCATTAGAAAACCCTTTTGCACAGCTGAAAACTGTTGTGCTGATTAAAGAAGCAATAAAACTGGCCTTCTTGAGACTAGTTGAGTATCTGGAGCATCAGCAATTGTGGGTTCGATTACAGGCTCAAAATGGCCAGAAACAAAGAACTTTCTTCTGAAACTCGTCAGTCTATTCTTGTTCTGAGAAATGACTATTCCATACGAGAAATTGCCAAGAAACTGAAGATCTCATACAACGCTGTGTACTACTCCCTTCACAGAACAGCGCAAACTGGCTCTAACCAGAATAGAAAGAGGAGTGGGAGGCCCCGGTGCACAACTGAGCAAGAGTACAAATACATTAGAGTGTCTAGTTTGAGAAACAGACGCCTCACAGGTCCTCAACTGGCAGCTTCATTAAATAGTACCCGCAAAACACCAGTCTCAACGTCAACAGTGAAGAGGCGACTCCGGGATGCTGACCTTCTAGGCAGTGTTGCAAAGAAAAAGCCATATCTCAGACTGGCCAATAAAAATAAAAGATGAAGATGGGCAAAAGAACACAGACACTGGACAGAGGAAGATTGGAAAAAAAGTGTCATGGACAGACGAATCGAAGTTTGAGGTGTTCGGACCACAAAGAAGAACATTTGTGAGACGCACACCAAATGAAAATATGCTGGAGGAGTGCTTGATGCCATCTGTCAAGCATTGTGGAGGCAATGTGATGGTCTGGGGGTGCTTTGGTGGTGGTAAAGTGGGAGATTTGTACAGGGTAAAAGGGGGTCACTCCATTTTGCAACGCCATGCCATACCCTGTGAACGGTTTTATTGGAGCCAATTTCCTCCTACAACAGGACAGTGACCCAAATCACAGCTCCAAACTATGTAATAACTATTTAGGGAAGAAGCAGTCAGCTGGTATTCTGTCTATAATGGAGTGGCCAGCACAGTCACCGGATCTCAACCCTATTGAGCTGTTGTGGGAGCAGCTTGACCGTATGGTACGTAAGAAGTGCCCATCAAGCCAATCCAACTTGTGGGAGGTGCTTCAGGAAGCATGAGGTCAAATCTCTTCAGATTACCTCAACAAATTGACAACTAGAATGACAAAGGTCTGCAAGGCTGTAATTGCTGCAAATTGAGGATTCTTTGACGAAAGCAAAGTTTGAAGGACACAATTATTATTTATATTAAAAATCATTATTTCTAACCTTGTCAATGACTACATTTCCAATGCATTTTGCTGTATTTCCTATTCAAACTCATTTCATGTATGTTTTCATGGAAAACAAGGCATTTCATTTCTAAGTGACCCCAAACATTTGAACGGTAGTGTATGTTTATATGAAAATGTTAACACTCCTCAAACCACTATTTAACACTATTGTTGTATATGTGCACATATTATATTTATGAGAAGTGGTCTAGTCTAGTGGCACATTTTTCTGGAATGTGATATAGCCTAATCATACAGTTTTTCTTCCACAATGTTAAACATTGTGACGTAAGTAAGCGTTGGATGGTTGTAATACGTATGCTATAAAACCCCAAAACCTTTTCTCTCAGGGACATTCTGTTTCGATTATTTTGTGGAGAGGGGGATCTTCAGTAAGCATAACTCTCTTTCACTCGTGTATGCACACACACTCACAGACTCAAACACACACCCAGACATAGCGTACACACACACACATACACACAGACATTCTATTTGTCCTGGCACTCACTGACAGTCTAAAGAAGGCTTTTCTTGGTGTGTGTAGACTGGAGAGCAGTACCACTCTCTCACATTATCTGATGAGGAATCTACTATTAGAACACTCATATTGTATCCATTGGCAGTATTGTGTGAAGTTCGAGGACTGGAAAAACAAATAACTTATTGTTCAATATGATTCCAGCTGTTTAGATGAGGCTTAGAGAGGAAATGAGTCATAAATAACATATTTTACACCCAGCATTTACATTAAATGTTCAGAAAATTGGAATACCATTCTGTAGCTTTCTGCTTTCAATTCCCCACATTTGACAATGTAAAGGAAACAGGATGAGGTACTTAGTAGCCTGTGTTGTTAAACCACATTATAAACCATGAAGAATTCCTTATCCATGATATGATTCAGTTTTAAAACGTTCACTTTTTTCTGAGGCATGCTATAGCAAGATCACTGACTATTTTTGTTTTTAAAGGGGAAAGTGCATTTTCCAGGTTTGGTTGCGAGGGGGGATAAGGGGACGTTGTCTGCGTATCAAATGCCACCCTCTTCCCTGCATAGTGCACAATTTTGACCAGGGCCCATTTGGGACGCAGACTTTATGTTTATCCTTTTGCCTTCAATTTTTATGGTTCTGTTTCCCCTCTTACAGAGGTCTCCCACTGGGGTTTATGGGCACTGACAACACTTAAATGTCTATTAAGACACTGTAACAACATGTTTCCGAAGCACAGCCCGGCAAAAAGAAAACAGGCCCTGGGGGTCCTGACCATAGAAATAGAATGAATAGAACGGACGTCTCCATTCACTTCAATGATGGCATAATGGGTGGGCTGGCAGCCATTTTGAGTGTACCCATGCCAGGAAGTAAAAGCAGGAAGTGTATCTTCAACTGACATTACAAAAAATACACACATCAGATAGAATCATTTGAATTAACATTCTACATTACCATGTAGAATGTTGAAAGAACACTCAAAATAACTATGGAAATCATTGCATTACAATACCAGGCAGCCATTGCAAGTGTACCCATGAGTTTACCAGTCAAATTGCCATGGTTAGACCTTCCAAGCCTGTTCTATTCAGAGGCGTCATGCCCATAGTGGGCACAGGGGCACGTGCCCCCTAAGATTTGTCCTGTTTAAAAATAGATCTAATTTATTTTTATATATATATATATTAATTTTTTTACTACTAGCCCCCTTATTTTTTTTCAGTTTTTTTTTTCAGGGGGTAGATCAGCTTAATATTGCAGATAGACTGTAACTTCCATCAATGTAATTGTCTGCATCACTTCCAATCCCCCATGTTTTTTTTATATATATACATATATATATATATATATATATATATATATATATATATATATATATATATATATATATATATACATATATATACATACATACATACATACATACATACATACAGTGGGGAAAAAAAGTATTTAGTCAGCCACCAATTGTGCAAGTTCTCCCACTTAAAAAGATGAGAGGCCTGTAATTTTCATCATAGGTACACATCAACTATGACAGACAAATTGAGGGAAAAAAATCCAGAAAATCACATTGTAGGATTTTTTATGAATTTATTTGCAAATTATGGTGGAAAATAAGTATTTGGTCACCTACAAACAAGCAAGATATCTGGCTCTCACAGACCTGTAACTTCTTCTTTAAGAGGCTCCTCTGTCCTCCACTCGTTACCTGTATTAATGGCACCTGTTTGAACTTGTTATCAGTATAAAAGACACCTGTCCACAACCTCAGTCACACTCCAAACTCCACTATGGCCAAGACCAAAGAGCTGTCAAAGGACACCAGAAACAAAATTGTAGACCTGCACCAGGCTGGAAAGACTGAATCTGCAATAGGTAAGCAGCTTGGTTTGAAGAAATCAACTGTGGGAGCAATTATTAGGAAATGGAAGACATACAAGACCACTGATAATCTCCCTCGATCTGGGGCTCCACGCAAGATCTCACCCCGTGGGGTCAAAATGATCACAAGAACGGTGAGCAAAAATCCCAGAACCACACAGGGGGACCTAGTGAATGACCTGCAGAGAGCTGGGACCAAAGTAACAAAGCCTACCATCAGTAACACACTACGCCGCCAGGGACTCAAATCCTGCAGTGCCAGACGTGTCCCCCTGCTTAAGCCAGTACATGTCCAGGCCCGTCTGAAGTTTGCTAGAGTGCATTTGGATGATCCAGAAGAGGATTGGGAGAATGTCATATGGTCAGATGAAACCAAAATAGAACTTTTTGGTAAAAACTCAACTCGTCGTGTTTGGAGGACAAAGAATGCTGAGTTGCATCCAAAGAACACCATACCTACTGTGAAGCATGGGGGTGGAAACATCATGCTTTGGGGCTGTTTTTCTGCAAAGGGACCAGGACGACTGATCCGTGTAAAGGAAAGAATGAATGGGGCCATGTATCGTGAGATTTTGAGTGAAAACCTCCTTCCATCAGCAAGGGCATTGAAGATGAAACGTGGCTGGGTCTTTCAGCATGACAATGATCCCAAACACACCGCCCGGGCAACGAAAGAGTGGCTTCGTAAGAAGCATTTCAAGGTCCTGGAGTGGCCTAGCCAGTCTCCAGATCTCAACCCCATAGAAAATCTTTGGAGGGAGTTGAAAGTCTGTGTTGCCCAGCGACAGCCCCAAAACATCACTGCTCTAGAGGAGATCTGCATGGAGGAATGGGCCAAAATACCAGCAGCAGTGTGTGAAAACCTTGTGAAGACTTACAGAAAACGTTTGACCTGTGTCATTGCCAACAAAGGGTATATAACAAAGTATTGAGAAACTTTTGTTATTGACCACTTATTTTCCACCATAATTTGCAAATAAATTCATTAAAAATCCTACAATGTGATTTTCTGGATTTTCTTTTCTCATTTTGTCTGTCATAGTTGACGTGTACCTAT